TATCACGCCCATGCTGCTAACTCGTTTGCTCAGATTCTATTCAATTTCGTTCCGCTTCCGTCTTTCTTTCTTTTTCTTTTTTCTTTTCTTTTTTCTTTTTTTTTTTTTTTGAGACAGAATTTCTCTCTTGTTGCCCAGGCTGGAGTGCAGTGGTGTGATCTCTGTTCACTGCAACCTCTGCCTCCCGGTTTTGAACGATTCTCCTGCCTCAGCCTCCACAGTAGCTGGGATTACAGGCATGTGCCACCATGCCTGGCTAATTTTGTATTTTTAGTAGAGACGGGGTTTCACCATGTTGGTCAGGCTGGTCTTGAACTCCTGCCTGCCCCAGCCTCCCAAACTGTTGGGATTGCCGGTGTGAGACATCACTCCCAGCCCTCAGATTCCATTTCTGATGCTTTCTCTTTGGTTCACATTCAAAAGTCCTGAAGTTAAAGAATCTGATTAGGTCAGTTCATCACCGTTCAATATGGATTACTCCTGCTGTGGTGGGGGGGATTCCTGTACCAGTCCACCTCATGGACTGATGTCTGTTTTGGTAGCCCACTGGCTTTGGTGGAGCTGTTTCAGAGTACAGTCTGGTGTGGCCAAGGTTACAGCATTATATGATACAAAGCAAGGTGACATGCACAAAGCATACTCATGTCTTAGAAGGAAAATATGGGCAAGGCATATATGTAGCATTACATGGACCATCCACTCTCCTTGGTTTTATTTATTTATTTATTTTTCTCTTCAGGATAGAGTCTCACTCTGTCGCCAAGGTTGGAGTGCAGTGGTGCAATCTTGGCTCACTACAACCTCCACGTCCTGCGTTCCAGCCATTCTCCTGGCTCAGTCTCCCGAGTAGCTGGGATTACAGGTGCCCACTACCACTAATGTTTATACTTTTAGTAGAGACGGGGTTTTACCATATTGGCCAGGCTGGTCTTGAACTGCTGACCTCAAGTGATCCACCTGCCTCGGCCTCCCAAATTGCTGGGATTAAAGGCGTGAGCCACTGTGCCTGGCCTGTCTTTGGATTTATACACCTAAAGAGAAAGAGGGAAAGCAGGATAAACATTCATCTACAGTTGTCATGTCATTAAGAAATCCAGCCAAGAACTTCCTTTAACGATGTCCTTGTCGGTAGAGACGAAGTTCATCCTCACCACATTTTTCAGGTGGTTCAGTTGGTGTTCCCCAGACCACCAGGTTTGCACTTGTGCGTGCTGGAGGACAACAGAGAAGGTTCCAGAAGCAGCTTTTCTGCACTACTGGAAGCTTTTTGTTTAAAGATGAATTGTTTAGCTGGATGCAGTGCTCATGTTTATAATCCCAGCACTTTAGGAGGCCAAAGTAGGAGGATCTCTTGAGCCCAGGAGTTCAAGACCAGCATGGGCAACATAAGAAAACCCTGTCTCTGCAAAAACATCAAAATATAAATAAAATGATTAATTGAGGCCCTGCATGGTAGCTGATGCCTGTAATCCCAGCACATTGGGAGGCCTAAATGGGCAGATCACTTGAGGTCAGGAGTTTGAGACCAACCTGGCCAACATGGTGAAACCCTGTCTCTACTAAAAATACAAAAATTAACCGGGCGTTGTGGCGCATGTCTGTAATCCCAGCTACTTGGGAGGCTGAGGCAGGAGAATTGCTTGAACCTGGGAGGCAGAGGTTGCAGGGAGCTGAGATCACGCCACTACAGTCCAGCCTAGGTGACAGAGTGAGATTCTGTCTCAAAAAAACCCAAAAAAACAAAAACAAAAACAAAAAACAGATTAGTTGATGGGTGAAAGGTAAGCAAAAACAAACAAAACAAAATAAAAAACAGTGGTATTGCTTTTGAGACGATAACAAAGGGCATAGTATTTACAGGGATGAAACTGCGGCGAGCGGGGCGCGGTGGCTCACTCTTGCAATCCCAGCACTTTGGGAGCAGAGGCGGGCGGATCACCTGAGGTCAGGAGTTCAAGACCACCATGCCAACATGGTGAAACCTTGTCTCTACTAAAAATACAAAAATTAGCTGGGCATGGGGGCACATGCCTGTAATCCCAGCTATTCAGGAGGCTGAGGCAGGAGAATCACTGGAACCCAGGAGCTGGAGGTTGCAGTGAGCTGAGATCACACCACTGTGCTCCAGCCTGGGTGACAGAGCGAGACTCCATCTCAAAAAAAAAAAAAAAAGAAAAGAAAAAAGAAAATGCGGCCAAAATTTTTATAGCATCTGGGATTCCTGCGATGCTGTGTTTTTGAACTATTTCAAAGCCTAGTCTGGGCACCTATTTTTAAACTTTAAAAGGCAGGTCATTGAAGTCCTTCAGAAGGAGGGAAAGGAAGCCATAGAACAGGTATATCCAAAAGTGCTGTAGGAAGGAACGGGCCCTTTACTATGTTTAATTCGAAAGTAGACGTCTTCAAGCCTCTAGGAATATTGTCCACCATCATTGCTGGCAAAATGTCCACCTGTCTCTGAAAACCTCCATAAGATGTGTATGTATTTGCAACAATTCCAAGTGAGGTACGGCCCCTATTTCCTGGGGAAAGTAGTGCCAGTATGGAAGGCAGCCTGTGACATTGTTTCTGACGGTTTCTTTTTCTTTTCTTTTCTTTTTTTTGATCAGTTCCTTGGCTCATGTTGGCCCAGGCTAAAGATGTGGCAGGTGTGGTCTTGCTACCACTTGCAACTCTGGCCTCCACCCCGGGTTCCAGAAGAGCTATCTCCCGCTCAGCCTCCCAGGGGGGGCGGCGGGGGGGGGGGGGGCGGGGGGCGGGGGGGGGGGGGGGGGGGGGGCGGGAGTAGCTGGGACTACAGGCGCCTGCCACCACACTTAGCCTAAGTTTTTTTTCTTTTTTTCTTTTTCTGAGACGGAATCCTTGCTCCTGTCACCGCAGCTGGAGTGCAGTGGGTGCAAATTTGGCTCATCTCTGCAAGCTCCGCTTTCCAGGTTCAAGAGATTCTCCCTGCCTCAGCCCTCCCCAGTAGCTGGGACTACAGCAACTGCCACCACGCCCTGCTACAGGTCTTGTCTTCTTAGTAGCGACAGGGTTTTCCCCACTCTCGGCTGGTCTTGAACTCTGACCTTGTGATCGCACCTGCGCGCGCGCGCCAACTGCTGGGCTTAACAGCGTGAGCCCACGCCACCTGGATGACATCGTTTTTTTTCTGTGCCTCAGAGCAAGATGACCAATTCGCCAATGTTGTCTGGAGTCTGGGGCACTTGAGGTTTTCTTACTATGCAAAGTCAGTCACAGATCGTTCATTTTCAGTGTACCTTCACAGTGTCTAATACTTATGCCTATGTACCAGGATTTCAATTTACATGAAGCAAATTGGTATTGAATATCTATCTTGCGCCAAGCACAGTGGTAAGCACTGAAATAGCAAAGGAAGTTAGATATATTCCCTTTCTTAAGTCACTCGTATCTACCAGGGAAAGCAACCCCAGTAACAACCAACTATGATGTAGTACAATGTGTGCTTGTTAGAGATATTCACAACCTGCCACCCACACCCAGTTAAGGGAAGGATTACCTTGTTGCACCTATTCTAAGATGTACATTGTTGTCTCTGAAATCCAGATGCATCTTACAATAGATGATGTCTCACAATTATTATTATTATTATTATTATTAATTTTGAGACAGGGTCTCACTCTGTCACCCAGGCTGTAGTACAGTGGAACGATCTCGGCTCACTGCAACCTCTGCCTCGACGACTCAGGCAATCCTCTCACCTCAGCCTCCCGAGTAACTGGGACTACAGGTGCACGCCACCATGCTCAGCTAATTTTTTGTATTCTTAGTAGAGACGAGGTTTTGCCATGTTGCCCAGGCTGGTCTCGAACTCTTGGGCTCCAGCGTTCTGCCTGTCTCAGCCTCTCACAGTGCTGGGATTACAGGCATGAGCCACTGTGCCGGGTCTCACAATTATTGACAAGTTTTTTCCTTAATGATACACAAAACAATGGTTCACCTTACAATCAATGACATCTTCAATTAAGCACGTTGAGGTTGGGCGCAATGGCACACGTCTGTAATCCCAGCATTTTGGGAGACTGAGGCAGGTGCATCACTTGAGGTCAGAAGTTCGAGACCAGCCTGGCCAACATGGTGAAATTCCCTCTCTACTGAAAATACAAAAATTAGCCAGGCATGGTGGTGCACACTTTGGCCTCCCAAAGTGCTGGGATTACAGACATGAGCCACCATACCCAGCCCAATTTTCTAGCTGTCTGCCTAGTGATATGCCTGCTCTGCCTCCACCCTCCTTCCCCCAAAAATCCTTAGCAAAAAGGAATTCCTGAATGCTTTAAAATCTTGTAGATTTTCTCATACTGTCCTCTTAACCTGAAAAGCCTTTTTCCTTGCATAATATAATAACTAACACTCGTGCAGCGCATTGCAATTCACAAAGAGAGGCTTTCTTATAAACACTCATTTCAGAGGCTTCATATCAGCAGTTAAGAGCTGTAGCCACAATCCTGGGTATTAATTTACCACTTACTTGCTACGTAACCAGGGGCAATTGATTTAACCTCTACAGGTTCTTCACCTTTAAAATGGGGATCATAATAGTATCTTATTTCCCAAGGTTGTTGTGAAGTTTAAATGCGTTAATACATTGCCAGACATGCAGTTCACATGAAATAAGTGTTCATTGTTACTTGTCTTCGCAGCACTCTCACTGTTAAGCAGCAAACAATCCAAGGTCTCTGAATTTAGGATTGAGGTTCTAGGCTTATGAGAGATGGATTCCACCAGAGCACGTGGCTTTTCTATCCAGCAAGAATCCTACTCATTCTTCAGGGACCCAAGCTCAAGAATCGCTTTCTCTCTGAGTCTCTCCTCACCTGTGTGTGACCCTGCTGCAAAATCGGCAATTGGCAATCGGCAAGCTTTTTCTTCTTCTTCTGTTTTGAGACAGAGTCTTACTCTGTCACCCAGGCTGAAGTGCATTGGTGTGATCTCAGCTCACTGCAACCTCCGCCTCCCAGGTTCAAGCAATTCTTCTGCCTCAGCCTCCTGTGTGGCTGGGATTATAGGGCACTTTCTGTCCCAAAAGAAAAAAAAAAAGAACTTAAGGTAGAACCACCATTCAACCCAGCAATCCCATTACTGGGTATATATCCAAAAGAAAATAAATTGTTCTACCATAAAGACACCTCCACTCACAGGTTAATTGCAGAACTTTTCACTCTAGCAGACACAGAATCAACCTAGGTGCCCATCAGAGGCAGACTGGTTAAAGAAAATGTGGTAAATATACACCATGGACTACTGCGCAGCCATAAAGACAGAACGAAATCATGTGTTTTGCAGCAACATAGATGCAGCTGGAGGCCATTAGTTCCTAGGCAGATTAACGCAGGAATAGAAATCCAAAAACCACATGTTCTCACTTATAAGTGGGAGCTAAATGTTGAATACACATGGACATAAAGATGGCAACACTAGACACTGAGGACCACTGGAACTGGGAGGGACGGAGGGATTGGGGCAAGGATTAGAAAACCACCTATTGGGAACAGTGCTCAGTACCTGAGTGACAGGATCAGTCATACCCCAAACCTCAGCATCACACAATATACCCAGGTAAAAAACCTTCACATGTACCCCTGAAGCTAAAATAAATGTTGAGATTATAATCAAATCAAATCAAATGTCTTTCAAATATAAATCTCCTATTCTTCATCCCCACCACTGTAGCCCTCTACTGTCTGGCCTGCACTAAAGAGCCAGCCTCCCACTAGTCACCCCACCTTTAGTCTTGCCCACTTGAATCTAGCTTCTCCACCGCTTCCTGTCATCTTTCTGAATCATAGGTATGACTGAGTCACTCCCCAGTTCTATAATCTATAGATATTGTCTATAATCTGTAGATAACGTTTGAAATTCAGTATGAGATACAGAGCATTTTGCAATCTGGCATCAACCGAAGTCTCTAGCTTTTTTTTTTTTTTTTTGAGATGGAGTCTCGCTCTGTCGCCCAGGCTGGAGTGCAGTGGCTGGATCTCAGCTCACTGCAAGCTCCGCCTCCCGGTTCACGCCATTCTCCTGCCTCAGCCTCCCGAGCAGCTGGGACTACAGGCGCCCGCCACCTCGCCCAGCTAGTTTTTTTGTATTTTGTAGTAGAGACGGGGTTTCACCGGGTTAGCAAGGATGGTCTCGATCTCCTGACCTCGTGATCCGCCCGTCTCGGCCTCCCAAAGTGCTGGGATTACAGGCTTGAGCCACCGCGCCCGGCCTGCTTTCTTGTTTTCTTTTTCTTTTTGATATGGAGTCTTACTCTGTCTCCCAGGATGGAGTGCAGTGGTGCAATCTCGGCTCACTGCAACCTCCACCTCCCAAGTTCAAGCGATTCTCCTGCCTCAGCCTTCCGAGTAGCTGGGATTACAGCCATGTGCCACCACACCCAGCTAATTTTTGTATTTTTAGTAGAGAGGGGTTTCACCATGTTGGCCAGGCTGGTCTCGAACTCCTTACCTCAGGTGATCCTCCCACCTCGGCCTCCCAAAGTGCTGGGATTATAGGCATGAGCCACCACACCTGGCCAATCTTATTAAAATCTTTGCGATATCTCCAAACTGCTTTCCACAGTGGCTGAACTAATTTACATTCCCACCAACAGTGTAGAAGTGTTCCCTTTTCTTTGCAGCCTTGCCAGTATCTGTTGTTTGTTGTTGTTGTTGATGATGTTTTTACTTTTTAACAATAATTGTTCTGGACTGGGCGTGGTGGCTCATGCCTGTAATCCCAGCACTTAGGGAGGCCACGGCAGGCAGATCACGAGGTCAAGAGATCGAGACTATCCTGGCCAACATGGTGAAACCCTATCTCTACTAAAAATACAAAAATTAGCTGGGCATGGTGGCGCACGCCCATAGTCCCAGCTACTCGGGAGGCTGAGGCAGGAGATTCACTTGAACAGGGAGGTGGAGGTTTCAGTGAACCGAGATTGCACCACTGCCTGGTGACAGAGCAAGCCTCCATCTCAAAAAACAAAAAACAATAATAATAATAGTAGTAGCCATTCTGACTGGTATAGGAGGGTATTTCATTATGGTTTTTATTTGCATTTCCGTGATGATGGTGAGCATTTTTTCCATATATTTTTTGGCCATTTGCATGTGAAAGACATTTCAGATGGAGATCCAAGCCAATTTAGATTAAAGGAAAAGTACTTCTCCTCCAACAGCTCACGTGAGGGATAGAAACATATCATCAGAAGGCAGGTCAACCAGACAGTACTGGAGTCCAGGGCGGGGATCTGACATCCATGTACTGCCAGGTAAACTTGCCTTGTTCGCCATGACATTCTCATATAGATTTGATTTTATGTTATTTTATTTAATAATATTATTATTATTTTTGAGACCAAGTCTTGCTATGTTGCCAGGCTGGAGTGGAGTGGTGCAATCTCGGCTCACTGCAACCTCCACCTCCAGGGTTCAAGTAATTCTCCTGCCTCAGCCTCCCGAGAAGCTGGGACTATAGGCATGTACCACCACGCCCAGCTAATTTTTGCATTTTTAGTAGAGATGAGGTTTCACCATGTTGGCCAGGCTGGTCTCGATCTCCTGACCTCGTGATCGGCCCGCCTCAGCCTCCCAAAGTTCTGGGATTACAGGGGTGAGCCACCGCGCCCGGCCAGATTGTTGTTTTTATCAGATATGAAGAGCAATGATCCACTCATGATCAGATATTGTCAGATATTGCCTCCTGTGTTTTGCATGCTAGCTAGAGTGGTCGTGATGGTCTTGTGCCCAGTAAATGACCTGGAAGTTATAGAGTGGAATGGCACATACTGGTGGCCAAGACCTGTTTCCAGGGGAGTCCGATAATAGGCTCCACTGATAGTCAATAGCAATCCAGTGTCCACTGTGCCAGAACACTCCGGAATAGTCTAAGAGTAAGGAAGATGGTAAGCTCCTTAGTTAGATGGGAGGTCAGAATCCATATACCTAGAAAAGTACTTTAAATCGCATATCAGATAATTACATGAAGAACGAGTAATGCAGTATAAAGCTAGCATGGAAGATATAGCATGCACTTTGGTTGTCTCAGCTGCTTGGAGGCTGAGTGGTCTTTGTGGAAGCCCTGGATATCCCAGGTAGGTTGGCGCAGGGGTAGATTCGGGCTAAAACAGATCCCCCTTTTGTTTTAACTTATTTTTTATTTTGGAGATAGGGGTCTTGCTATGTTGCTCAGGCTGGTCTCGAACTCCTGGCCTCTGCCTCAGCCTCCCAAGTAGTTGAGATCATAGATTCAAGTCACTGCACGTGGCCTGAGGCAGATTCCTAACAGTCACCTTAAGGTCTGGTCCAATCCTCGTATTCCAAATACCCATGGCCAAAAAGTTGGAGGGGTGCGGGGGAAGAAGAAAATCTCTCTAGAAATGTATGAATTTGGAACTGCAGTATTTACCGTCCTATGACAACATTCATTAAATTCCATTCTAGGCTGGGCACAGTGGCTCACGCCTATAATCCCAGCACTTTGGGAGGCTGAAGTGGGTGGATCACCTGAGGTCTGGAGTGTGAGATCAGTCTGAGCAGCATGGCTAAACCCCCTCTCTACTAAAAATACAAAAAAATTAGCTGGGTGTGGTGGTGCACGCCTATAGCCCCAGCTACTCGAGAGGCTGAGGCAGGAGAATTGCTTGAACCTGGGAGGCGGAGGTTGCAGTGAGCCGAGATTGCGCC